CTCTCTCTTTTCCAGTCTGCTCTTTAAACTTTTCTATGCGTCACTTTGTTATCCTTATGAGCACAGAACGGATTTTTTTTTTCTCTTAATCTCCGAACCCCAGAGATTTTAAAAGAAATATTCTAATAATTAAGTATCACATTTTTATTTGAATATTGCATGTTCACGGTTCTCCGACATTGACACGCAGGTAAACAAATAAAATATTTGCTCTTTTTTAGTAAGTGTATTATTTCGGTTGATGTCATTTTAAAATGAGTTTTAATTTTACATTTTTATGCTTTAATTATTAGCTTGTCATTAAAATCACAACCCCCCTGCAGTATCTTTAGGAACCCCAGTTTGGGAAACCTTGACAGAGTGTAATGTTCAATGCACTCCATGTTGTTAATAACAACGAATGGAATATATTTTCTTACTCTTTGTATTTTTATATCAGTATGGTACAAGATTATCCTATTTAACTCAATCTGATAAATGAGTTAGGTTAAAAGTAGTCCGTTTATATTACCTAAAATGCGTAATGTAAGGGATTACGTTACTAACTACAATTTTTGTCTTGTAATTTTGGAATCTGCCCAGCTCTGTGCATCAATGTCACAGTCATAACCCATCCAGTTTTGTCCTGTGCATTAACCTGTGTTTGCTTGTATGGCTCATTTGAACATATGTCTCTGTTTGCCTTAATTAGTCAAATATGCTTGTGTCTGTGTTCTTTATGAGGCAAATATGACATTTATTTTATGCATGAGAAAGCGTGCATTACATACTGCAGTGTCAACATGCGTGCAACTTGTTTAAGCAAATAGTGTGGTAATTTTGTTCAAATTAAAAGGATATTTGGATTCTACGTGCTCTGGTACCGTTAACCTCTTCCTTCTCTTGGTTTGTGTGTGTGTGTGTGTGTGCATACATCCTTGTACTTAAATATCACTTAAATGTCAAATGATTCATGACTCATCTAACAGTTAAAAGATTTTTCATAAAACACCCTTTATCTCAAACTGTTTTATTGTTTAAAAAAAAAAAAAAAAGTTTTACATTTTTTTTAAACAAAAACAACCCAAATACTGTCTAACAACATGAAACAAGAGTAGGGTTGCAAAAAGGTGGAACATTTCCAGTAAATTTCGGAAACATTCCAGAAACTTTCCAGGACTTTTTGGAATATTTCAGGGATTTTTGGAAAGTTTCCGGAAATTTACCCGAAATTTTCCACCCCTTTGCAACCCTACACAAGAGTGAAAAGTGTGAACAGAACACTGACCAACAACTCATCCAAGTGTGTGTTCTTTTGGCTGGCATGTGTTTGGTTTCTATTATAATCATATTCAGATATTAACAAAAATCATTTGCATGCTTAGCATGTTTTGTTCTGTGTTGCTCTGCTCTGAAGCACTTGCTCCAGGATGGACTAGATTTAAAGTCAAGGTTGGGTCTGATTTTTGCAGGATGACATTCATAGACGCAGATTACATTGGTCCTAACTGAGAACAGATGTTACGTTATGAACCTCAAGACCACTTCTCCCATTAATATGTACTTACTGTCTTTATTTTAAACATTCGAAAAGATCAGATTCATTTAACTACTAAAACAACATTTTTTTTTTTAGATGTTCATAAGATCTAAACAGCCATTTGCATTTTGATTGCAGGATGGGGGTTATAGTCATAGATCTCAAAATCCTCTGCATGGAAATCGTCAATTCGTTCAACTTTGCGTTTGATCTTGAGTTTGGGGAACGGACGCAGCTCTCGCCGAATCTGTGGGCACAGGACATGTGTTAGAAACATTCTTTCTACACACACCTTTTTCAAAAAATGTAGGCATACTGGAATTTCATTTTGAAAATTGGTGAAGGTGATATAATTTAACAAACAATGAAACTCTGTTTCAAAAATACCTACAGAAATACCTGTAGATAAGTGCACGTAGATTAATTGTATTGAATTTATGCAACATACCTGCTCTTTCAATGGCTCGATGTGATTGGTGTAGATGTGGGCATCTCCTAACGTGTGAACAAAATCGCCAGGCTACAAGGAAAAAAATAATAATAAAAGATGAGTACAAAATATATTCAGTGAGTTTTAGTTTGGTTCGTCTGTCCATAAAAAAATAAAATATGATACACTAGGTATATACGAAGATATGTCTTGTATATAAGGTATATACAAATTCCATATTAAAGGGATAGTTCACCCAAAAATGAAAATGTGATGTTTATCTGCTTACCCCCAGGGCATCCAAGATGTAGGTGACTTTGTTTCTTCAGTAGAACACAAACTGAGATTTTTAACTCGAACCGTTGCAGTCTGTCAGTCATATAAGTAAGTGGATGGGAATCA